TAAACTATAGTTTTTATTAAAATAACTAAGCTAGATATTTTCCAGTTTTGGTAGATTTTTTCCAAGTGGATGGCAATTATTTTTTTTCCTCAGTGGCAACCCTGGCTGGCTTTACTCACCCCATAACGAATTGTATGTAGTGGCACATGAAGTATGTGAGTGCAAGTATGGATGTGTGTTTGCATGTTTGTAAGTACTACCGCGCTGGCAAAAAGGAGCCGCGGTTTTTACGCGTACGAGTATGTGGTCCAAAATGTGCCTCGTTACTCGTACTGCTCGTTATTATTATTTATTTGAATTTGACTTAGTATATTTGCTTGCCTCGCCAAAATCTGCAGTTTGCTATTGTGGTTGTTGTTGCTGCCTATTTTATTGTTATTGTTGCGGACGAATAGAAGTGAAAGAGCAGCTTTTGCTGGTTTAATGACTTCTAGCGTACATACATACAAACCCACGTACATACACTTATTATGATGGAGGTAGACGATATGGTTAGTGGCTAAGGATTTGCGTTGAAAAAACGAAATTTAATTAGTTAGTTCTTGGGTGTAGCAGAACAAGAGACGCCGCGTCCTGAAAGATCTTATGTGTCTCTTGAAGAGAGAGTCCCTATCGCAATCGGTTGTGACCAGTCACGCACCCAGAAGGTAGCCTGATGTCATTTCTATTTTCTAAAATAATATCATTTCTGTTCGCCCTCGAAGACGACCAACTGAGGCCAAAAAATGGTTCAGGTCCTGAAAAGGCAGTTAGTGATCCTTCTCGTGCCAACTCGTGGGCCACCTCATTGCCTCTGATTCCACAATGGCCTGGTACCCAACACAGTGTTACCGTGTTTTTGTCTGTCAAAATTTGTTGTGTGTCAAAGCAGTCAATAACCAGCTTGGATTACATATTCCTGTTTGAAAGAGCCCGGATGGCTGCTGGGCTTGGCTGAAAAGATAACTGGATAGACGACTTTGAAACCTCTTTTTAGGGTTTATTTTTTCGCAGCATGAAATTGCGACTATTTCAGCTTAAAACCGTAGGCCATTTGTTCATGGGAATTGCAAGTTTGGTGTTAGGTTCAAAAATACCTGCACCTGCTCTGTTCTCCTTCCTTGAACCAGTGTACATATCTGGGATCAAGTGCAGGGAGCTAATTTTCCCAATATTCGCGATCGGGTATAATCACTTTGAACTTTCTGCCAAATCAGATCTCTTTGGTCATGGAATCAGGGATTCTGCATATTTCCAACTCTGGTACCTTTCCAAGAATATCTACATGAAGATTCTTGGTAAAGAAGCCAAGCCAGATAGTCGAAGTTGCAGCTCCCTCGTGGCTACTGTTTTCTGAATAAAAATATGGAAACGCTCCAGAGCTGCAGTTGCGGACATTTGTATCAATCGAACGGACGATCATACAGAAGATCAGCCTTGAGATCAATCCCTATGTGTTTTCAAAAAGTCTTCCCCAGGCCGACATAGCCCATGTTGCTTTATCTACCGCAATCCCCAGATATTTGACCTAATTTGAGTAATCAAGCATTGTCCCTCCAGGAATGACCGAACCAAAGTTTGGTTTATACCTTGTCGTAAATGTTACAAGAACAGCCTACCGAGGATTTATGCGTGAATATGTTAATAAACGAACCGAAGAGTAATCTGAACCCTTCTGAAACTGTATAACGAAGAATTGCGAAATTAGTTCTGAAATTATTTTTTTTTATATAAATCATACATAGCTTAAATAAGTGGAGATCGTAGAAAGTTAATTAAAATACTTAAATAAGATATCGGTTCTTTCTTTTGCACTTTATTTTCATGATAGTTCATTGCTTACGATAAGTTCACATTTCATTACAACCTGTATCAACTCACTACTAGCTCTAACTGAATTCACCATACTTTCTTTGGTACAACTGCAAATAATATTGATTATAAATATCGAGCCCTAACCGCCAAAATAAAGTTAGCAACATTTTTTTTTTTTAATATTGCAAAAATTTTCGCTTACGTTATTTTGGCGTTTAGGATTCGAGATATATTCTTCATATTAATTTACATTTTTGGAAATGACTAGCTCCTGTTAAATGTATAAAAAATACATTGCTAACTTACAAAAATATATTTTCGTATCTAATTTATTTTTACGTACAATATTTAATCTTTGGTACATTTGTAGATAAATATCAAAACCTTCACATTTCATAAAGCTTGTAAACAGCTACAATACAATAAGGTACCTGATGCGTTGTGATCGATGGTTAACTTTTATAAAAATTTTTGCCTTTTGACAATACTAAATATGTAGTTTTGATGTTAACATTTGACGGTGATTTGATTTTTAAATTGCTTTACTTTCAAGTGATCGACAATTTCATTGAGCGGCAGAGGATCGCTTGAGAGAAAAGCAATTTTAATAAGTAATTAGTGTTTTGAATTACATGAATGAAAATAACATTTATTTGCAAAGTATTTTGATTTGGAGTTCGCTGAGTAGCATTCAAATTGGAACTGCAAACGCAGATACTTTGAGAAGAGTCTAGAAACAAAATTTTTTTTTTCGAAAAATATGAAGCATCGTTACAAAGAAAATTTACAAAAAAAAATCGTCATAACAAGGCTTCAATAATGATGTGTTAATTCAGTGGCAACAATTTTCATCCATAGAAATTTTGAAATATTTTTTAGCAGTCCAGCTATCAGCCGAACGCGAATATTTATAACTTATGATTAAAAAAAAAACACTTCAAAATTAATGGATTTTTTTTTTAAACAAATAAAAGAGTTTTTACTATAGTATTTTACCAGCGGCAGAATATAATTGCTATGTTAATTTTTTAGAGACCGTAGCGGTTATCTACAACTTCTTACATGCATATGTATACTAGAACGTACACCCATGGGTCTAAAGTATTTCTTCAAGCCAATTTCGAAATAAATGTTTTTTTGCCAAACTTAATGGTCGCCTTTTCCATTTTTCGTCTTATCTTCGACATTGACAGTCGGATCTTAAGTATGATATAACGATTTCCGAGGAGTTCTTATTACCCTAACGTAACACCCTAATGGCAGCAAATTAAAGCTCTCCAAAAAACGTTAAACTTGTGCTTAGGAAGTATTTTAATTATTCCAGTAGAACTATTTTAATTTTTTTTTATTGCGGAATGTCACCGAAAAATGTAAAAGGACAAAAAAAATATCGTAAGTGACTTACTTGCAAAAATACTCTAGACTCGCAGGTGTACCGCGAACTTTTTTTGTTTGCATTTAAATAAAATGCATAATTTTTTCTTTTAAATTTTTTAGGTAAGTGATTTTAATATTTAAATATATGGTTGAAATTCTCTAAAGTATAACGTTGAATCAGAAAGCTTGCGCCAAAAATAACTAATAAATACTAGCGGTAACAAAAAAAACAAGAAATATCCCAAAAAAATCTTGGAAAATTCCGAATGATCTCGAAAATTCTTACTTAAATACGAAAAGATACCAATAATCCCGATAGATCCCGAAACAAATATTAAAAATCTCAAAAATAAAAATAAAAATACAGAATTGAACTGGAAAGTTCCAGTATAATCACCTAAGACTGCTAATTAGATCCCAAAAGAACGCTAAGAGGAAATCTCGAAAATATATTGCTGAACATGAACTTTCAATTGAAATTTCCAAAGATCTCTAATATAATACCAAAAATAATACCAAAAGGCACAAGGTCTAGAAAAAACTTAAAACACCGAGAAAATTTCTAAAATATATATAGCATTTAAATTCCCGAGAAACTCCCAAAGGCCCCTTATAAAATACGAAAAATAAATGAAAAAAAAGTTGTGAAAATATCCCAAATAAATATACAGTTGAACCATAAAATTCTAGAAAACTTCACTAAGGACGCTAATGTGTAAGGAAAAGTGGCAAAAAAATCCCAGTATATCCAGAAAAATATTGACAAATCTCGAAAATATACCGTTAAAACTGAAAATTCCTGCCTAACATAACTAATAAAATACGATAAGTCATGAAAAACACCGAACGATACCGAAAAAAATCTGAGTAATCCCAAGGAAATCTTAAAAGTTTACCGTTGGATCGGAAAATTGCCGTATAACTCTCAAAGATCTCTAATAAAATACAATAAGTCACGAAATATTCCGAAATATTGCAGCGAAATTACCGAATATACCGTTAAACTATAAAATTTCCGAACAGTTCCAAAAAGTATCTAAAGAAATACCTCGAGAAAATTTCGAGAAAGTCTCGAAAAGCCTCGAATGATCACGATTAACTTCATTTTTTACAAATGCTAAAAAAATAAAGATTTTAAAATTAAAGAACACAAAACGATCCTAAAAAAACGCAGTAAATTCCCTACAAATTCAATACAAATATAGCAACTAAATCAGAAAAAACAAAAAAGAAAATATTAATTCCGAAATATCTATTATATATCTATTAAATGAAAACAGAAGTCATCGAAAATCTATGAAACATGAAACATGAAAACTCTAAAATCAATAATAACTAAAATTTCGGCAAAAAAAAAACAAACTTAAAAATATGACTAAACAGTTTTCGAAAAAGTTGAAAATGAGCGATCAAGTATGGTCGGAAAGACAGTATAATCTGACCGAATAAAATGAAAATAAAAATTTATCGCTTCAATAAGAGTTTCTCTTTAATAAAAGTGATATTCGCTACGGTCTGCCGAACATTTTTTGTAATTCATCGATTCCGGTGTTGTATGCATGATCCTTTGCAGCGTTTCAACTTTGATTTTCCAAAGCAAAATTTTAGAAATCGCCACGCTAAAACTCGTCCGCCAAGAGTTTCAAAATAAATAGCAGGAGATCATAAAAGTATGCAATAGGAAAGCTTAAGAGATGTAACCTGAAATTGGAGATTGAGAGATGAGTTATGTCCCATCGGAAACGCCGTCTCTTTGTAAGCACACCTGATATTTAACAAAAAATTCTTAGCATTCGAAATCTAACCTAGCGACTTCAGGAATCCAACGCCACCGCAGCGCTGTGGCTAGGTACTCAATCCTAAAATCATCCATACAACCCAAAATCAATCGAAATATCACCATCAGTGCACCTATAGCTTGCTTGATATCTAACTAAAAACCTATGACTTTCAACTCACTCACTTAAGCTACCCGAATAGTCCCGGTTTTAATGCACACTACACGCGCTCCTAGCAGCCACTGCTATACGCTCGTATACTGCTCGAAACCGCTGTGGTTGCCGCTGTTCGTCGCCATCACCTCGGTATAATCCATCCAAGGCGGTGTTTGTGTGTAGAAACTGCTATCCTGATGCAACATAGACGCCTGCGCGTGCACTCTTGCGGTGCGCTGAGGCACCATGGGTGGTGTTACTGCACTGACCGTCGTCAACTGATTCTCCGCCAGATAGCAATTCGTGGTATTCGTTGGTCGCTGGTTGTAAGCCATCTGCGTTTGGCAATCCGCCGCTACGATGTGCGCTTGTTTCGCCTCCTCCGCACAGATGGCGGCAGATGTGGGCCGCATATTGGCTGCTGCTTCGAAAGTGCTCCTATACAATTCATATTTCTCCTGCGAAAAATGTGGATGCATTGCCGGATTATGCGTTTCATGCTGCACATTATAGGGGCGCACATCACTGCCGTAGGCATAACCTTGCGGCGGACGGCCGCGTTGCAGCAGCTGTTGCTGCTCGAGGAAGGCGTGTCCGGCGGTGGGCATCATCGTCGTCGCCTGTTGCGGATATGGCACGCGTCCGGCAAAGCTGCTGCTGCAGCCCATGCTAAAGATGCTTGTGTACGGTTGAGGATTGACGAAAATCGCATCGAATAATTCCTTGGTAATGCGTTCGCCGCTGAGCGTGAAATTCTGCAACTTTTCCAGGTCCAAATTAATTGTGCCACCACTCTCCAGCACCTGCTCGAGCGCGAATATGTAGTTGTGCGCGAAGCGTAGTATCTCGATCTTCGTCAGCTTTGTCTCCTCTGGCAATGAGGGCAGCGTGACGCGCAGCCGCTCCAACGCATCGTTCAGCATATGCATGCGATTGCGTTCACGATCGTTGGCTTTCATGCGTCGAAACTTTCTGATGCGCACCACTTGTGTGGGGCTGCGCGAACGCGTTACACGATTTTTGCCGACGGCATATTTGCGCTTGGGACGCGGTTCAGTTGGTTGATCACCATTGCCATCGGCCGCGACCCCATCGGGATTCTTTGTCGGCGTTGATGTTAGTTTGGGCGCGAATTCGGACTCCGTCAGCGGTGGCGCTTTGCTGATCACATGTTCGACTAGTGTGCGCGCACTGCGTGTGCTGTGATTACTGCTCGTATCGAGTAGCGCTGAAAATGAGGCTACTGGAGCTCCAACGCCATTGGTATTGTAACAGCTGGCCGCTAGTGGGGAATCGGCGGTGGCGGCATAGCAATCGGCGCCATTATCGAAGAAAAGTTTACGCGGCGTTACATTGCAGTCTGTTTCGAAGCTTTTCTCGTAACCACTGTCGTATGAAGAGTCTTCAAATTCAAAAGAGCGATCATCGAAGCCGCTATAACACGAAGACATTCTGCTGTTTTACACTTTTTTTTTTGTTGCAACAGTCTTTGTTTGGACACTTGTCGCTAAGACGGCGCGCCACGCAATACTTTTTCACTTAACGACCCAGTAACGGTACGTTACGTTTCACTTTCCATAGTAGGCATTTTTAGCACGCGTATATCGATATTTTGTTGTTAGGTTTTTGTGTGATCTTTTGTTTTTCTATTGCGTTGTTTCCCGTAGCGCGCTTCTTTACCAACTAAACAGCCATCGAAGGGTACTCATTAGTTTTATATTCATTCGACCATCACAACAACTCTTCGAATATATATTGTAGCGGGTGTGCGCTCATGAGCCATCTCAGCAGTACAACCCTCTGCGTATTGGTGGCGGTCGTGACGGCGCCATCTCAAATCCTGCTGATTACCGCAGGGGGTTGGTCTCTGGCTTACAACAATAACTACAGCAATAATGTTCGCGCAGCACTTAGTGTGTCCATACTGTGCGTGTGTGTGGCATGTCGCTGACAATACCGGTTATCATAGTCGCGCCACCCTTACACAACCCACCCAATGCTGTAGCGACGAAGCGAGTTTGCGAGCGACTACCAATCGGAAGGATGACTTTGTCGAGCGGCACTAATGCTTGTTGCGCCGCGATCAAAGGGATTTGGCTGCAAACAGTTGCCGGCCAAGAGAGTGTGTACAATACATATATGTATATGTGTGTGTGTTAGAAATATTTAAATATACGCTGTTGACTCGTGGTCTGCAGTAAAAATATGAATGTTTGATTTTTATGTTTTTTCCACATGTTTCAAGGGTTGCCAGATGGTTTGAAATGTGCTGATTCGTTAGACTATTTTTCAAATATATTTTACGGCAAGAAAATTAAGGCTACAATTTTGACGTAAACGAATATCGAAAATACCGAAAATTTCCGAATCAAGAAAAATAACGAATAGAACCCGAAAAGTCCAAAGAAATCCCGAAAAAATTGCGAAATGTGCCGCCAGAAATACCGAAAAATCCAAAAAGAAATTCAAAAAATTATGAAAATGTTAGATAAACCTTTCAAAAAACTAAAAAAAAAATCTCGAAATTTCACGAAAGTTCCGAAAAAATGCCGATATAAGCTTGTACGGTCTTGAAAATGGCCTGAAACGGCAGCGTGGGCTAGCGCCAACTAAGAGTGTAGAGTGGATAGAGGAGCCCCAAGGTGGGGTCGTATAACCGCTGCTCGGAATCGTGGCTTTTAAAAATCTATTGAAAAAGCAGGGAAATAGAGCCCGTCGGAAGGTTACCTAGGCAGACGACGTAGCGCTCATGGTTACAGGTTTTTGGACAACCTTTATGTACGATCTGACCCAAGGCCACCTACCTATCTAAATCTGATAACCTAATAGCCGGCTGACATCGGTTCTGCCGTCAATACTAATAAGACACAACTGCTACTATTCACTGGGATGAACAAAAGCCTCAACGCCAGCCTCCTCTCGATTGGAAGTGTTCGTCTGCACCATTTTGGTTCCTTAAAAAGGGGGTTATCGCGAAAGTTTTACATGGAAGAAAGAGTGAGGGAGGCATCAGTTACCATATAGTATGTACAGCTGCAGAAGAGATATTGATAACAGATCAAGATGATTTCTAGGCTCAATGACACTAACATAACCACAGTTAAGTCTACTATGTTTAATGGAGTCCTCACGTTGTGGCGTTCGCTAGAGATAGCTGAATTAGTTAGTTTGCAAAGCGAGTGTACAACGGACTAATTTCACTGGTATTTTTGGTGCATTGCAAACCAATCGGTACTTAACATCATGCTGAACATAACAAAACTACCAATGCACGGGCTACATACGAGCTCAGGACAACCTAGCAAGCTCAGCGTCTGGACACTTTAAAATTCTCGAAGTTTACGATCTAGTCCCTGACTACATCTCTGAAATTTATGTACTCAAAGTCACTTTTTCTTTATATACATTCCTCCGGAGAATGAACGATTTGAAAGATGGGTTTGAGCCTGTCGAAAGGGTTAGTGTGGGGTCTTTTGGTAGGAGCTCCCCATTGGACAGTTTTATAATCTGATTTATTTGCCTATCAGGACGACAGAGACATTACGAGACACTGCACAGCTGACGAGTTGGCGTGAAAGGGTCCCCTTAAAACAAGCGTTACAGACCACCTGTGATTCACTCTAAGCCAAGCGAACCTCAGGTGAACATCGTGGAGAAAAGTGGGGCATTCGGGAATGCAAGATACTTCTGGCCCAGCGTAGGTGGGAAGCGATCAAAGCAGCTCCTTATACTTACACAGCCACAGCCAGGCTAGTAGGTCTGAATTTTCTCTCTACGGCCCTGGCCACAGCTTTCACTTTCCGGTATAAGTTCTGGCAGGTCATAGCCCGATCGGATAGTTTGGAGATTCCTGAGGAAGACTTAAGCTCTGAAGTCGGCTGTGGTACTTCGTGCAAACAACCAAATTATCG